GCAGTCAAGTGCCTTAGCCACTATGCAGTCAAGTGCCTTAGCCACTATGCTACCAGAGCTCCTAATGAATGGATAAATAAAATGTGGTATATCCACATAATGGAATATTATTCAGCTATAAAAAGGAATCGAGTACTAAAACATACTGCATCATAAATGAACCTCCAAAACATTATGCTAGACATAAAAGGCATGATTCCATTTACATGGCATATTAAAAATAAGCAATGCCACAAATTAGTGGTTGCCAGAGCCTGGAAGGCAGAGGTAATGAGAAGTGAGTACTTAATAAGTATGGGGTTTCCTTTTGTGATAATTTAAAATATTCTTGAACAACATAGTGATGATGGTTCACAACACTGTACACTAAATGTCTTTGAATTGAACATTTTAAAAAGGTTAAAATGGTTAATTTTATGTTACATATATTTTATCACAATTGAAAAGTTAATACAGATATTAAGCTAGGACAATTTTGAAGATCCAAGGATGCTAAGATAATTTTTAAGTGGCAATCTTGATAATGGATGGAAAAAGCTAAACCACTAGAGAAGGAGGAAAAAAAAAATAAAGCAACATTGCGACTTAGTACTCATCTTTATCAACTGTTCTTAAAATTAAGAATTTTTTTCAAACATACTTAAATATACAAAGTGTAGTACAATTAATGCCCATATACCCATCTGACACTTAGAGACAACAATTATCAAGACTTTTGTCTATATGAATTTTGAGAGAACTAGGAAATCCCTAGAGATTTATAGCCTTCAAATTTAGCCTGCTGAAGTTGAGCCAAAATTCCTCCAGAGTTTGGAAAAAGATTTTACTAATGATCACACACACAGATACACATGTACTTGTGTGGTATGCCCACGCATTCTTGTAGGTGTACATACTTGGTCCTATTTAAAATGAATTACTGGATAATATATGGACAAATCATATTAAATCATTACAGTTTAACCACTAGGAAAAAAAGTAACAAAGATTAACCCAATGTATTTTCTTTCTGATTAAAAAAATAATAATACCTTTTAGAACTTTTGTAACTAAAGTTATTACAAATCATATAAACGTAAATTGTTATTCAAAATGTTAAGGACTAAAAAAATAACAATTAAGTGTTCCTATTTAAATATATGTGATCAAAAATGATAGATAACCTCTGCTGCATATGGATTTGGAAATTAAATTTCCTGTGTAAGGCAGAAGGATTTCAAAGCCAACTATTAAATCAGTTGTTTTGAAAAAATTAGATCCATGTACATATTAACATAAACTAAGGAAGTTAGTTCAAAATAAAAGACAACAATTACCTGTTCTCTGAACTCTTGCTCTTTCAACTTTGAATCACTGATAAGAGTCGTCTTCTGTGCTAGTTGTGTCTGAAAGAACAAAAAGTCAGATCTGAAATGTACATGGGTTTCATCACTGCCTAGACATTTCTGTTTGTTGTTGTTCTTGTTGTTACGTGCCGTCGAGTCAGCCCCGACTCTCAGCGACCCCTCCTTGGGTTTCCGAGGCGGTATCACTATGGAAGTAGATCGCCCAACCTTCCTTCCAAGGAGTGGCTGGTGGGTTTGAACTGCCAGCTTTCTGGTTAGCAGTCAAGCACCTTAGGCACTATGCTACCAGAGCTCCTAGACATTTCTGTACTGCTTAGGAAATCTTCCCTTGCTAAAACAGTCTCTATCTGTTTAAGTTAGAGCACAGAATGCTTTTGAAAACACACTACCTTCAATCATATTCAGTGAAGAAATAGTCTTACCTGTAGTTTCATAATTGTCATCTAAAAATGGGAGAAAAAAAAAAGAATCAGTGTATACATTAAAATTGACAAGTAAATAATAAAAGGGAGTAATATGAAATTACAAGAAGATAAGAAGCCATAGTTACAGTCTTATAGGAATGGTCAGATTTGAGATAAGGCCATTTTAATTATTAGCTTTTAAATTTGGTTTATTTTGTTATAAAAAATATCATAGTAAGTACACACAAACACAGGTGAAGAAAAAGGACTGAAAGTCTTTTACCAACTTCCCAACATTGATTACCACTTGGAAGGGGAGGAGCTATATGCAGAAGGTAAAGGGAGATTTTCATGTCTTATTCTACACTGCCTGTCTCTTTAATAAGAGGAATGTATTGTGTATTATTTGTGTAATTTTTGAAAATTAAACATATTAACATCTACATAAAGCATATAATCCCCTTTAGAGATTTCTGAAGCACTATTTCTGGGAACCCACTCTGAGCTATAATCACAAATAAATTTTTCAGGAACCCAATGCTAGTATGCAATTCAAGATACTCCAGATGCACCAAAAGATGCTCAAGGACAAATACTATAGAAATTCACAAACAATAAAATATAATTCTTAGAGTAGAAATGAAAATAAAGGGTATTTTCTCTCCTTTCTTTGATAAAAGTAAAAGGTTCAGAAGACCTTCTAAATATTAATTTCATAATGTTTCAAATACTCAGGCATTCTGGTACAGGTCAAAACACTCATACTTATTAAGCAACATTCATACTTATTCTGACACTAAGGAAGAGCTCATGTTAGACAGCAAAATAAATGTATTCTTCTTAGAAACTCATTGCTGTCAAGTTGATTCTGACTCACAGAGGTCTGGTGGGGCAGTGGGTAAGTGTGTGGTTGCTGGCAGTTGGCTTCTGTAAAAATTACAGCCTTGGAAACCCTATGGGGCAGTTTTACTTCACCCTATAGGGTCACTAGGAGCTGGAAAATAATACTTAATAGCACTTGATTCAAGGCATGACCAAATGAGGTGAAAGAGAAAACTAAAACAACTAAGTTCTAGTAGCTATTAAAACAACAAAACAGTCCACTTAGTTAGCTCAGAGCTTACAAATGAGGTATATATGCCAAATAGCACACTAAAGTAATTGATATAATGGTTGTCTAGAAAATTGTTATCTGGTAACTGATACTCTGTAATGAACCCTCTACATAATTCTCTTTTTTCCCCTTCATTGTGAATTCTTTTTATTGTTGTGACTTGGGTGAAAGCTTACAGAACAAATTGGTTTTCTATCCAACATATACATTTTCTTTTGTGACATTCACTGCAATCCCCACAATGTAACAGCACTCCTCCCACTTCCATTTCCCTTCCTCCTCCTTTCCTATCCCTTTCTACCTTCTTACCTTTATCTCTAGGCAAATCCTGCCTTCTGATCTCATATGGTTGATTGTTCTAATAAGTGCATACCTTCCTAGTGTTACTGTTTGCTTATAAAGCCTATCATTTCAGTGAGAGCTGAGCCAATGGGGTAAGTTCAGTTCTAGGCTTTAAGGCTAAGGACCATACTCTCAGGGGTTCCATCAGTCTCTATCAGACCAGTAAGCCTGGTCTTTTTTCTGATTTTTGAGTTCCAATAACTGTTGAGGATGAAGTCACGAGCATACTCCACCCACTTTCCTGAGATCTTCATGACAGTGCCATGAAAAGTGCATGACTGAGAGCATTTGAGGAAGTAGATGGTATAGTGTCAGGCTATACCACTGGGGTCACAGTACAGCCCATGCCCTATGGGTGTGCACCTAGTGGGGTACACAGTGGAACAAGAAGCCACAGGATAAACATGGCTCATCTTTCAGAATATCAATTTTACTTAAAGAATGAGATTATAAAAATGCCTAGATACACAGTGCCAGCTCACTTCATTTAGTCCAATTTTCCAAAATAATCATACTGCATCGTCACCAGAGCTCCTATTAACCAAGCAGAAAAGCAGAAACTGATGTTTTTCTCTATGGTTTATAACTTAAACATCATTTTCTTAAGACTATATAACTAAGGATATATTATAAAGCAGAATTGAAAATTTACGAGAATATTTAATATAAAACATAAAATTCTAAAAATATAATTGCTATGAATCATCTGTGGCTGTGGCTTAGGGCTATGAAGTTTCCTCTCCTCTGCTATTCTTTCCATGGAAAAGACCAATAAGCACTGGTGTAACAGACATGCCTATACTTTGCAGTCTTGCAGATTGAGTTTGAATTCTCACTGCAATGTTTATTATAAGCACCTAAACATTTTATTTAACCTCTTTGAACTTTAGTTTTAGTTGCCTGTAAAACAGAAGCAAGAGTATCTCTCTTGCAAAGTTTTTGTTAGGATTAAATGAATTAAGTATGTATGTCAGCAGGCAGGTCAAATAATGAAAATGAAGTGCTTTCAAGAAACATGTGAAGAAAACTCAAGGTCTTCTTACTTTATCATCACCAGTGTTCTCCTCCTGCGGTTGCTTTTGCTGATATTTCTCCTGCAGCTCCTCAAGTTGAGCCTGTAGGTCCAATACTTTTGCAGTCATTTCTTCCTCACGAGCCTTTCGAATAGAGAAAGGGTAAGGTGTTAACAAACAAATGTATCAAAAACCATTGTAGAGGTTCAACATGGTACAGACAAAACTACCTCTGCAGGGGAAATAAAAGCCTTAATAGTTTATTGTTTTTATTTTAATTCAATACTGTGCTCTAGACATTTTCTTTCATGTCACAATTTTAACACCAAGTCTTTTTAATGTTGTAGACTATTCTTAGGATTTCACTTTTTCTGCACTTATTCAGTCTGTCCCCACCCCACAAAATTAAGCAAAACCCTTAAACTAGGGTTCTCAGGTTTAAGCAACAATTCGGGGTATACTGATGTCATGAAAAATGACAATACAGAATAAGTATTTAATGACTTTGGCCTTTTCTATCCTGGGATTTGATTTCTAGAAAATACTCATTAAAATAGACTAGTGGATTTTTATATATAGGGCAGTGTTTCCCTGCTATTAATAGGTTTTCACTAGCCAATTCTCTAAGAAGTAGATGGACTGTTCCTTCTTCCCAATGTGTCTTAGTCTGGAAGCTCCGCTGAAACCTGTCCACCATGGGTAACCCTGCTGGAATCTGAAATACAAGTAGCATAGCCTCCAGCCTCACAGCAATACTGAACCCACCACAGTACAACAAACTGACAGACAAGTGGTGTCGAAGACTGAAGTTATCAAAGATTTCATTTTACTTGCATCCACAATCAACACCCACAGAAGCAGCAGTCAAGAAATCAGATGTCATATTGCACTGGGCAAATCTGCTGCAAAAGACCTCTTTAAAGTGTTGAAGAGGAAAGATATCACTTTGAAGATTAAAGTGCACCTAACCCAAGCCATGGTATTTTCAATCACTTCATATGCATATGAAAGCTGGATAATGAAAAAGGAAGACCAAAGAAGGAGCCGATGCTTTTGAATTGTGGTGTTGGAGAATACTGAAAATACCATGGACTTCCAGCAAAACGAATAAATCTGTCCTTGAAAAAGCGCAGCCAGAATGCTCCTTGGAAGCAGAAATGGCCAAACTTCATCTCACCTACTTTGGTCATGCTGGCAGGAGGGACCATTCCCTGGAGGAGGGTATCATGCTTGGTAAAGTGGAGGGTTAGAAAAAAATGGGAAGACCCTCAACGAGATGGACTGATACGGTGGCTGCAATGATGAGCTCAAGTACAGCAAGGATTATGAGGATGGAGCAAGACTGGGCAGTGTTCTGTTCTGTTGTACACAGGGTCGCTATGAGTCAGAGCCAACTTGGTGGCACCTAATAACAACAGTGGATATTTATATGCACAGCACTTCTCAATTAGTTGGTAACTCATTGTTCACAGGAAGATATGGATTTTTTTTTTCACCCCCCTTGGATGGGCTGTATAAATTAAGGGATAGTTTTTAGTCCTACTTCAGCAAACCCACAACCATACAAGAGGTTTTCTGGCATAAAATGTTTAAGTAAAATCAACTTTTGAAAAAAGTTACTTCCCAATTTGTCTGGTAACCACAATAATTTCTCCATTTGCCCTGAACTTAACAGAAACAAAGTTGCATTAGAAAAAGTAGCATGCTGACTTACTGGTCCAGTGATCTTACTCATAAAATTTGACATACAATAGTCCTCTACTCTGTTTTGATTGCCTTGGTGAGATGTTGCTGCCTATCCTTACATTCCCTTGTGCTTTATCTTGGCAACTGCCATGATTATACAGCGAAACTCAGACCTCTTCTCACTCTTAAAAATCTTGCCAAAAGAACATTAGGAATTGGAATATTGATTAGATTTGAACAATAAAGACAAATGTTTGCTGCATAAGAGTCTTGATAGGAAACCCCCCCACAAACTTGTGTGAACAACAACAACAAAATATCTAATTCTCAAAAGCAAACAAAAACAGACAGGCCCCATGGCACAAAAATAAGGCAATGAGCATGGGATGCCTGGAAAATCTAATTTTAAATACCACTGTCAAAAACCTACTTAGTCTAACTGTAAAAGAACCAACCCCTCTCAACCTATCAAAGCAGACACCTCTTATAACTAAGCTCCTTAGATATCTTCCCAGTGAAGCACACATTAACCTGGCATCCACCTCTAAAACACCACTGACAAGTAATTGTTGTAAATACATTACTGCCCTCAGTCTTGGTTTGTTTTTATTTCACCACAGCATTTCCCATGTGGATGTCTGTATCAGTGTGGTCTAGCCTCATCTGAAAGGACTGCACTCTACGGCTCATCATTCAGTGAGCCCAGATTTTCAATATGACAATTAGCTATGCTGGACATAACCTCTGACAGTTGTGTGATACCAACCTAAATCAAGTCCTCTAAGAATAAGAAAAGAATCCTTAATGTGTTATTTCTAATTTAAGAATAATTCCTGGAATTTTCTTTATAAAAAGCTTTCTGGTTTTCTTGAAAAATCATTAACAATACTGCTTGCTTTGAAGAAAAACAATTAAGAAAAGGAAAACTAGTTCAATTGAATCTTTATGCATGGAAACTATGTTTTGAAGTCTAGCTATTATGCCAAAACCATATTCACTAACATACATTCAATGTTAAAAAGAAACCAGTTTTGTATTTCATAGAGCTTTAGAAGCTACTTCTTCCCAATGAAATTGGGACTAGGTTATTAGGTAAGCTTCCCTCCTTGTAAACAGAGTTGGTCCCCAAACTTGATGTATTCTAGTTATGATGAACTGCAGACCATCTGTTTTTGTTTTTTTGGATATCTTGTTGTTAGTACTATGTACTACATATAATCATACAGTGTGTAATTTGCTGATGTTATCATTCTTAGATGTTCACTGGCAGAGATCAGGCTTATAAAGATAATAATAAAAGGCAATGATAATAAAACTTAAAACAACAACAACAACCAACAAAGTATTCAAGTCATGTAAGAACTAACTTAAGACAATCTTTGGAACAGAACTCTGTCATAAGTCGGGAACTACCTGTACTCAATTCCTCCTTTGAGTTGTTACCACCCTATCTTCCCAGATGAATTCTTTCTGCCCTCCCATGTGTCACCTCCTTCAAATTTACCAGGTATCCAGTATGTGCCAGGGACTGAGTTAGGCTCTAAAGACTACAGATAAAGAAAAGTATATTCAGAAAGCGAGCTTTTGAATAGTAAAAAGGAAAAGTAAGAACAGATCTCATTCTTATTCCTGCTTATATACAGAAACATTAAAGTATTATATAAGAAAGTAATGGTTACCTGTGAAGGGAGAGGAGGGATTAGACACAGAACACAGAGGAGAGGGACAAAGTACAATTTCCATTGTATACCATTCTCTAAGTATGTCTTGTCTTCTTGCATTACTTTGATTTCTGATTTTGATTCCAAAAATTTTTTTTTCTAAATAAAATTACTTTTATTAAAAGCCAAAAGAGAGATGGTAACACCTGTATTAGTTCAAGTATGAGAATACGATCTTCAGACAGGCAGAAAAGCATGCACAAAGGTAAAATTTAGAGAAAGTTGAGTGTGTCTGGAACACAGATTACATTAGGGGAGGTTATCACAAGAACCATGAGAAGTCATTGGAGGTATTTTAGAGAAGTGATATGATCACACCCTTGTTTTAACGCAGAAAATAACTATAAAAGGAAAAGAATGAATCTGTTAGGGAAAAAAGACACGAGGGCTAAATGAGACATCAAGTGAGAAATTAATATAACAAACCAGACCAAGATGAGAGATGGAGATGGCAGTCCAGACTGCAGCAACAGCAAAGGAACATGTCATATGAGTCAATGGAAAACCATGTCCTGGCAGCCTACGATATATATGCTTGGTATTGTGCTGGGGATATACAATGGAAAGAAGATGACTTCTCTGCCTAGTAATCCAGGGGAGATAAGCCAGATTTCATGTTCTAATAAGTATGTTGATGCACATGTTGAGGGGTTGAGGGTGGTAGGAGGTGGGAATCAATGATGATAATGGTTCCCAGCTTTTTCAAACGGGGAATGTAAGAAGGTTATCTAAGATAGCAAAAGTAGGGAAATGAAAGTGTTTAGGCTCAAATTTCCTACTAACAAGTTATAGAATTATTTCAAAGGATGACAAAGATATAGCATTCTCAGATGTCATCATTAGACAAATCATCAATGTGATAACAGATCTTAGGGGTGGCAGGGGGGAACACAAATACAAACCCCATACATACAAACCCCATACATACAAACCCCATATAAAACTCTAATTTCAGAAATTAAAAAAATGGAAGAATGGTACAGAATATATCTCAGAATCAAAGTAATATGATGTTTGCTAAGAATTGTTAAGGAGCTCTGGTAGCATAGTGCCTAAGGTACTTGACTGCTAACCAGAAGGCTGGCGGTTCAAACCCACCAGCCACTCCTCAGAAGGAAGATGGGGCAATGTACTTCCGTAGTGCCTTGGAAACCCAAGGAGGGTTGCTATGAGTTGGGTCCGACTCGACAGCACATAACAACAACAACAACAAGAATTGTTAATATCCGTTTGTAGTAATCCTTGCCTCTTTAAAAAGAAATTCGTTGAGACAGAGTGTATACCTGGAGTGTTTAGATGGGGACTGCCTATTTAATTACAAAGCCAGTCCTAAACCTAGCAGTTAAGAGTCTAAGGAATACAGTAACCACCAGCTACCTTAGTGACTAGCGAGCACTGGAAATGAGGCTAGTCTGAACTGAAATGTGCTGTTAGTGTAAATACACACTAAATTTCAAAGAATACCAAAAAAAAAAAAAGTGAAATAGCTCAATAATTTTTACAACGATCAAAATAATAATATTTTGGATATATTGGATTAAATTGAAAATATTATTAAAATTTTATGTTTACCCATTTCTTTTTTTAATATGTCTATTAGAATATTTAAAATTATTTATATGGCTTGTATTTGTTGCTGTGCTACTCATTATACAGTTTTAGCAAAATCACTTAACTATACTGAACTTGCTTTTCCTTACATAAAACCAAGGTGGAACTAAACTAACTTTAATGTGTCTTCCAATCCAGTATTACCTAAGCACTGAAGAAATAAAAATATTTTTTAGAAACTTAGTATATATATATATATACACACACTCTATGAAAACACAAGAAAAAGTAAAGTTATATAAATTTCAGTAATATTATTAGAATTTTCTTTTCATAATGAGAATTTAAACTCAAAAATGATACAAAGGGGTGACGCTGCCATGTACAATCAAACACCTCATGGGATTTGGTTCCTTGGTTTGGAGGTTTAAGGACATGTCAGGGGACATTCCAGTTAATTGGTCTAAAGACATGTTTAATGCTTCTGTTCTATCTTCTAGTTTATAGCACAGTGCCTGGGTTCTTAAAAGTTTACAAGCAGTCACCCAAGGCCCAACAATTGGTCTTTATTCACCTGGAGCAAAAGAGGAAGAAGAGGAGTCAAGAATAGGAGGAGAAAATAGCAATGGAGGAAACAGAACTGCCTCCATGAGTAACTGCCATGAGACTAGAAGAACTGAAAGAAGGATGGCTACCATTACTGAATGTTTTGATCAAAGACTCTATAGTAGAATCTTGATCAAAAGGTGGAAAATTCAAAACAGAATTTCAAATGCCTACAGATTCCAGGCTTTCGAGCTATGGAGGCTGGATGAACCCCTGAAACTACTGCCCTAAAATAATCTTTAAACCTTAAACCAAACATACTCCCAGAAGTCTTCTTAAAACCAAGCAAGAGTTTAGCTTAACTAGTAAAGAATGTCAGCTTTGAGCATTATGCTCTTTTAAAATCTATCTATATGGGATCAAAGGAGCTCTGGTGGTATAGTGCCTAAGGCATTTGACTGCTAACCAGAAAGTTGGTAGGTCAAACCCACCAGAACTCCATAGAAGGAAGACTGGGCAATCTACTTCCGTAAAGATTTACCACCTTGGAAACCCAACAGGGGTCACTCTGAGTGGGAACTGACTCGGCAGTGGATTTTTTTTTTTAAATACAGGACCTTATTGTCAGTAGCAACTTGAAAGGTTAGGAACCTCATGGGGTAGTGAGTTGATGTTAATGTAGGAGGAACTCAGAAAAAGAGGGCAAGAACAGTTACACAACTCAAAGAATCAATGTCACTGAATTGTACATTAGAAACTTAAATTGATATGTGTTTTTGCTGTGTATATTATCAACCACAACAATAAATAAATAAGTACATTTAATGGTAGAGAGGTGGCATTTATTTACACGCATGTGTCATATCCTAGAAATTCAGTCATTTCAATTACTTTAAAAATAATTATTACTATAAACTGTTTCTGGATCAGACTTCTATTGCTGCCATAATCAATGAAGCATGACTGTCTGATTTAAACATTCTCAATCATTAAATGGGTCTTGTCATATAGTGAAGTAAGGAGTAACTAAAAAATCTGCAATCTAACCAAGAATTGACATTGTTTTACATTTGAAAATGTTCTCACTAGAGTCCATGGCTTATCTTTATACACAAAAATAACAATGTTAACCCACCGTAAGTAGAACAAATACTTTGAGCTAATATTCCACAAAATATAGAAGAGGATTTGACTAATGCATTCCACTTTTTGCCTCTACCATTTTTCCCTTTGAAACCAACAAAAACCACCTGCAAACTGGGTAGGGACAGAGCAAACTATAAATTGGCACTCTTTGAAAGACCCCAGCTGCACTAAGCAGCCACATTCAAACATACACTAAGTGTCCCATTACTTAGATTTCACCTATACACAAACTCTCAACTCTGAGTCTGGGTCTTTCACAATTCAGTCTGAATCTGTGAGCAAGACAGAGAAAATAATTTATTTGTCCCCTATTTAATGACTCACTATTCCTTCAATACCAGCAAAGAGACCGTATTGCCTGGTTGGCAGAATCTGATCAGGAAGCTACAATCCTGGCAGAAACCAATTAGATTCTAAAACCCTGCATATAGTACAGAAGTATTAATTTGCAAAATATTGAACCAGAAAACATTCTATATTAGAAAAACAGGAAATCTGATAGCCCAATCTTTTTCAGCACCACCATGAAATCTATACAACTAAGTTTAAATTAAAAACGAAAAAAAAAAAAAAGAGAAAAAAAATAAGGTACATCAAGGATTTCTTCATATCTTTTGGCTGTTTTTTTCAGATCATCTTCTTTCTCTGCAATCTTTTTATGTAACTGATTTGTCTCTTCCTGATGACTTTCCAAAAGTTCAGCCTCCACCTCCTGGGCCTTATCTATGAAATAAAAAAATGGGCACACATGAGAAAACATATTAGGCAAGAGTTAATATTTATATCCCAACTCCAGTACCAACCCTCATTCCAAATTAATTCTAAAAAAAAATCAATTTTATATAAGCATTGCAAAATGCACAATGAGGCCAACAGTGATCTCCTGCTTTCACAGAGCAGAAGAATCTTTACAAGGTAATTAACATTTTCAGTTTCTTTTACTGGCTCTCCTTAAGGCAAGTCATTGCCAGGCAGCACAGGCTCCCATGAGAGAACTTTCTTGAGAGAGAATATTTTCTGCAGTTAAATTACTTAAAGCACTTAGTGCAAGTGTGAAAAGAATATGCTTAAATTATAAACAGCCCCTGCTGGTTGTGTTTTGTTCCTTATTGACTTTAAAATTTTACTTACTGATGGTTTCTTTTATGGTCATTTCTAGTTCCTGCTCCTTTTGTGCTAGCTGTGTATTAAACTCCCTCATCAGCTGTTTTAATGTGGAACTGTGTTTTAATTCAAGATCTTCTTGCTCCTGTCTGAGTAACAAAAATGTAAAGAGTTAACTGCTGCCACACAAAGACAAGTTGCAAAGAGTTACTTGGTCTTCAAACAGTGTCTACACTTTGAACTCACTGATATAAAAACAATTTTGAGGGCATACATATGTGTACATGTATATATGTATGTGTGTGTTCGAGCACAGAAAACCTGTGGAAGGATACATAAGCTGTGGTTATAGGGATTAGAGACTATTCCTTTTCACTTTAAATGTTTCACTATATCCATCTGTGCTATATAATAATAATGCTAATAAAAATAATACTTGAAAAGAAAAAAATTACTTGGAAATATATCTAATAACATGATCTTACAAAGAAGAAGAGGTTTTTGCCCCCTATGGTCATGGAATAACATTTTCTACTGGGTACAGTTGAGTAGGTGGAGCCTAAAATAATTGAATTAGGGGGAAAAAAGGGGAGGGGAGGAGGGCTTACTTAATGAGGACTGAAAGTATCCATGCTGAAATAAAACTTACTTGATTTTCTCTTCCATTTCTTGTTCATATTCTTTCTTTATTATATCCAATTCTTGCTGGTGCTCCTTCCGCAACATTCGAAGGTCTTTCTGCAATTTATCAACCTCCTTGCCCAGCCTCTGCTTGTCCCGCTCTGCCCCTGCTAATTTAAATTCCAGGTCATTGTGCTGGGCCTCATTGTTACCAGGCAATTTGGGATGGACTACATGTGATTCTGAGTTTTCAGTACTTTCTTCCAGAACTTCTATGGGGTGATTTTTCCCATCCATCTGCTGTTGTAAAGCCTGTAATTTTTCGTATTTTGAGGTCAACTCTTCCATTTCAAATCTATGTACTTCCTTCTCTCTTGCTAAGCAGGAATCCAGCTCTTTTATCTTTTGCTCCAAGATCTGACAGGTTAGTACCTTTTCCTGGAGGGTTTTCTGGAAATCATCAACCACATTTTCCAAGGTTTGCTTTGCCCCTATGTTGTTTTTCCCTCCTTCTCCTTCCACATGCTGGAATACTATCAAGGAAGACTTCTTGTTTTTTCCTTCAAGTTCTTCTTTAAGACAATTTATCGTAACTTGATCTTCACGTTGCTTTGTTTCAGCATGTTCTAACTTTATTAAGAGCTCCTCATATTTGCACTGCATTTCAGAATGAGAAGACTTTGTCTCTTCTTTTTCCTGTTCCAGCCTCTGTAATAGCTTTTCTTTTTCAGTGACATTTCTTTGTAAAACACTGATTTTTTCTTCATATGCCTTCTGCACAGAGCCTTGGGAATCTGCGGCTTCTTGCTTTGTACACACTGCCACAGTTTTTGCTGACCTGGGTACAATTAATGTCTCTGGTTGTGGTGAACTTTCTACTGATTTAAGTTTTTCTTCCAAGATGAGAACTTCCCTCTCTCTTTCCTGCAGTTTTGAATTTAGCTCACTTAAATGGCTTTCTGTATCTTTTTTATATTGCTGTTCCTTGTCTTCCATTTGAGATAACAACTGCTTCTTAATGGCAGCAATTTTTTGTTCAGCTTTTTTCTTCAGTTCTGCTAGTTTTGCAGCACTTTCCAACTCAAGTCTATCTTCCAGGGCCTTTAACTCCTCCTCTTTGCTTTTCACACTTGAATTCACATGTTCCAATTCTTTATTCGTAGTTTCAAGTTCAGACTTCATGAAGGACACCTGCTTTTCAAGTTTTAAGATTTTTTCTTCAGCTTTTATAACCTTGTTGTCCTTTTCTTCTCCTAACTCTTGAATGTGTTGAAGTTTCTGAACCAGTTCTTTGTGTTCAATATCTTTTTGCTGATTGTAATTTTTAAGGACTTCCCTTAAGGACTCAATTTCAATTGTTTTCTGAGTGATATGTTCCTCTAACTCCACAATTCTCACTGTTTGAGTTTTTAACTCAGTCTCTAAATTACACTTCTTTTTCTCCATCTTGCTCTTCTTATCTTCCATTTCACCCTTTAAACATTCAAATCTTTTATTTTGCTGACTAAGGTCTTCCTTCAATAAATTTATCTGCTCATCCTTTTCACTGGCCTCCTTTGTTTTTAACTCAAGTTGAATCTGCAACTCTTTAATAGTATTTTGATTCTGTGTAAATTTTAACTGTGTTTTCTTCTTCCATTCTGAGAATTTGTTGGACAAGTGATCTACTTGCTCAAGAGCAGACATTTTCTCTTTACTCAGAGTATCCACTTTCAAAGATAAATCCTGCACCTGCTCTAGCAGTCCCCGTTGTTCTTCATCATATTGCTTACTTAGTGAGGAAATGGCTGCTTCTTTTTCCGTCAAGCTAATACTATTCTGAAGCTGATCGTTCAACTCAGTGAGTTGTTTATTAAGACTGCTAATCTCAGATTTTTTTTCTTTAAGCTCTTCTTTCATCAATGTGACAGCGTTGATGTTTTCAGATAACTCTTTCTTCAGCTGTGTGATACAAGACTCCTTTTCAGAGGCAGCCTGCTGCTGGTTGCCTCCTTCCTTCTGTAAGGCCTCTTTTTCTGTTACAAGACCCTCAATATCAGCCTTCATGCTTTTAATTTGATTTTCTTTTTCTTCTAAGTGATGGGTAGCCTGTTGAAAAGAATTATTTAGTGTACTTTGCTCTTCTTTTAGCTGTTTAAGCTGTGCTTCTAATTCAGAAACTCTGCAAATCTGAATTAATAGTGCCTTCTTAATTTTAGTTGTGTGGAGCTGACAATGAGTAATTCTAGAAAGAATGACATCAATTTTGCTATCAATAATGTTGACTAGCTCATTCGTTTTAGCTTCTAATAAGGCTTCAGTTTTCTTACAATAAATATTTAGCTGTAATGCTAGTTCCTCAGACAGTTTCTTGAATTCCACGCTTTTGTCTTCTAGGTTTTTGTTACTTTTTTCATGTGAAGATTTCAAACTCTGAAATTCTTCATTGGTGGCTTTCAACCTGTCAGTCAACTCAGAAACCTTAAGCTTATCTTGTTCTGCCAGTGTCTTTAGTTCAATTACCTGCTCTTGAAGAAAAGTATTTTCCTTCAAAGTTTGGCTCAGGTCAAACTCTAACTTTTCAAGTTGTGCTTTCAATTTATTTTCATTTTGTGAGAGAGAATTCAAATGAGTAGACTTCTGCTTTAACTGTTCCTGTAATTCATTTAATATTGTATCCTGCTTGACACCTTCCTCCTTCAACCACACTATTTCCTTGTTCATCTCTTCTTTTTCACACCCAAATCTGAGGATCTTTTGTTTCAGTTCTGCCACCTCTTGTTCTTTTTCCTGTAACTGAATTTCATGTTTTTCCTGAAGTTCTTCAGCTTGCTGATTAAGTTTCTTTTCCCAGATTAGTATGACATCATTGAGTTCTCGCTTGTGCACCTCAGTAAGACTTTCTATTTGCTCCTTCTGGTTCATTTCCAGTCTTGACACTACATCATTGATTCCAGCTGAGTTAGCCTGTGCCATTTCCAACATTTTGGCATTGAACTGTTTTTCTTTCTGACTAAGCTCTAGTACAGTATTTTCAAGCTCTTTTTTAAGTTTGGCTTCCTGATCTAATAATTTCTTCTTTAACGTTTCTTGCATCTCCTTTGATTTCTGCTTAATTTTTTCCATCTTTTTTTCTTGGTTTTTAATTTTGGTTTCATATTCTTCATGCAAAATACTAATACTGTCCTCCTTGGCTGACAATTTCTGTTTGAGTATCTCAATTTCTTTGCTCTGTCCTTCTCTCATTTGTAAAATTAAATTTTCCTTTTCCATCAAGATTTGCTTTGTCTGTTCCTGCTCTAAGTTATTATCTTTAAGTTTGGACTCATAGAGTTGGGTTAGAGATTCTACTGTTTGCTCCGTTTCATTATTCTGTTTTTCAAGTTGTTGCATTAACTCTTGCACCTGGATTTTGTGTGTGTCTAACTCAGCACTGACATCTTTCTTTTGTGTTTCAACTTCAGCTACCTTTTTGGTAAGAAGAAGTCTTTCTGTTTCTAAATCCAACAACTTTTTCTGCAATTGGGCCAACTGTTCCTCATATGCTTTTGCCTGCTCATGCGAAGCACTCTGGGATGACTGCAAATGATCCAGCTTAGCAGAAGTCTGCTGGAGTTCTCCCTCAGACCTTTTAATATCTGCCTCTAAATTCTCCACATGAGCTTGATGCTCTTTCAAACATTGGTCCTTTTCCTTTAAAAGAAGCCTAAGTTGATTAATTTCATCTTTTAATGCTTTCTCAGTTCTCTGTATAGATAGCTCCTGCTCTTTAATGATGCTGTCAACTTGTTGCTGGTGATGATTTCTCTGTTCATCCAGTTTGGCTTCTAACTCCTGCTTCACTTTGTCTGCTTGATCCTTTAGCATAGAAAGTTCTTCTTCTAGCTTGTCACGGGCTTTTAATACTTCAGACAGTTCAGAAGATAATGATTCTAGTTCTGTTTGCTTCACATCAAGCTTTTCTAAAGTTTTTTCATTCATCTCTTCTATGTGGGCCTGGAAAAGAATCTCTTTGTCTTTCAACAATGTTTCCTTTTCTTGTTCATACTTCTCTCTAAGTTTTTCCATTTCTGTCTGATGCTGTTGCTTTAAAACTTGGAGTTTTTCAGTCAAAAGGTTATCCTGCTGCTGCTGCAGACTTTCCAACTCAGTCTTGTGTTTTTCAACCATGATTGTGATGTCTTTATTGTGCTTATTTTTTTCAGCTTCCAAATGGATAGCTAAATCTTCTGATTGATTTTTGCCTTCTTGTAAGCTTTTTTCCAAGGAACTTTCCAATTCAAGAATTCTCTGTTAATAAAAACAGATATATTGTTATTAAAGTACATACTTGTTTAACAATGATATACATGATAATGATGTGTACCACCTACTTAAAGATTAAAATTTAGGTAAATAGCTCTACATATCACATTGAACATTAAAAAGGACAAAAATCTTTCCATGCTACATTCATAAAGGAATCATACAGCAAAGAAGTGAAAAGAACCCAATCCAACTCATAATTTGAGTCTTTCTACATACTTGGGTAACTACTTAAATTAACTGTATTTTAAGAATATTCTAAATGGACAGTCAAAAAGAAATAAATCATAAAGTAATAGTAACTGTCAGTTGCTGTGTGTCGCTGAGTCGATTCTGACTCATAGCGACCCTCTGTGGCAGAGCAGAACTGTCTCACAGGGTTTCCTAAGCTGGAATCTTTTCAAGATCAGATCACCTGGTCTTTTCTTCCAGAGTCGCTAGTGGCTTTGAATTGCCAAGCTTTTGGTTAGCAACCAAGCATTTAACCATTGCACCACCAGGGCTCTCGTAACTCTTGGTAGGAAGGTGGATTTTTTTTTTAAAGGCTTGTGATAGTATTCTGTTGCTTTCATAATTTTTTAATTTTGGAAGAAGAATAATGTATCTGATTTTTCCACCCCAAAAGTTATTTTTAAGAAGATTTTTTCAAAAAGAAGAAAGTTATACAACTTTTACCAAAGATTACTATTATCTCACAAAATATCAACCTGCATTCCAAAAGAAAAAGAGTTAAGAGTAAAGCAGAACCATAAAATGTTGGGAGCGGGAAAGGCTCTAAACCAGTGGAAAGATAATTGGTCAGCAAGGGGGCAGTGGGGAGGCAGGAGGGATGAACAGATGGAGCAGAGGGATTATCAGGGCAGTGAAACTATTCTGTATGATACTGTGGACGCATGACATTAAGTATTTTTCAAAATCCATAGGTCTGTGCAACATAAAAAATAAACCTTAATGTAAACTATAAGGAGCTCTGGTGGCACAGTGCCTAAAGCATTTGACTGCTAACCAGAAGGCTGGCAGTTCAAATCTACCAGCCACTCTATGGAAGGAAGATGGGGCAATCTACTTCTGTAGAGATTTACCACCTCTGAAACCCAATGGGGGTCGCTATGAGTAGGAATGTCATAGTGGCAGTGAGTTTATTTATTTATTTATTTTGTAATGTATAAACTATGAACTTTAATTAATAATAATGTATCTATATTGGTTCATCGATGGTAACAAATGTACCACAGGACTCAAAGATGTTAACAAGAGAAAAAATGTGCAGGGGGGAGGAAATATACCGGAACTCTGTACTTTCCACATTACTCTTCTATAACTTGAAATTGCTCTAAAAAATACGTCTATGGGGGGGGGGGGCGACTCAGAGTGAAAAGATCCTAAGGAATTACCAAATCTAATCTCTTTCTGTGACAGGTAAGGAATTTAAGGCAGAAGTAATTTCCAAAGCTAGCAAATGGATGAACTAGGCCTTCTAAGCACCCACTGTCTTCTACTATGCTACTTTTCATAAATGTTAGAAATGGGAAAAAAAAACATAGTTTAGAAACTGCAAGAGGGGTGAGTGTTTTACTGTCTAAATCAGTGCAAAAAAAAAAAAAAGACTAAACAGCAGCTATAAAAAGTTGAATTGGCAAAAGTTATATATTTACTGTAAGGCCATGGTAAAGAGAAGAGGACACACAAAAGTGAGGTTAAAGAGAAGTTTTTATTTTGCACTTCCGGGCGAGGTTTATGGGTCCCTGAGAGAGGTCCGGGTGAGGTTCACAGTCTTGTAGAGGACCTAAGTGGGGACACTAAGAAAATGGCGGGGTCCAAGTAGTTGTTGGCATGGGTCTGCACCTAATTAGCATGAGGGGGCTTCACAGGAGGAAGTTTATCATCACGTGGGGCTTTCCAGCCTGGGCAGGTTCTGCCACCTCGGTTGTCTTATCAGGCTGTCTCATCGGGGCCCGACACCAGGAGGAAGCTGCTAACTGAAATGTTGGTGGCTTGAGTTTACTCTGGCCTAACATTTACAATGACAAAAAAATAAAAATAAATAAAAGAGTATCTGCTGAGGCTGCATATGTACAAGCAAAAACTTCATGGGATTTAGTTTCATGGTTTGGAGGTTTAGGATCATGGTTTCATGGGCTATCCCCATTAACTGGCCTAACATGTTTATTGCCTGCGTTCTACCTCCTAGTTTGTTACGTAGTGTCTGGGGTCTTGAAAGCCTGCAAGTAGCCATTCAAAGTACTACAACTGATCTCTATTCACCTAAACCAAAAGGTGTTTCCTCCAAGCATCAGGAATAGAAGAATATGGAATGCCATGAGACAAGAGAAACAGGATGGTGCCCGGCTACCATTACTAAATATTTTGATCAAAGATTTTTGTAAAAGAATCCTGGTCAAAAGAGGGGGATGAGGAAGATGCTGAACAAAATTTCAAATTCTCAAGGAATCCAGACTTCCTGGCACAATGAAGACTGGATGAGTCCCTGAAACTACTGCCCTGAGACAACATTAAACCTCAAACCAAAAATATCCTCTGAAGTCTTCTGACAACCAAACAACGGTTTAGCTTAACTAGTAAAGAGTATCAGCCTTAAGCATGATGCTCTTTTAAGAACTACAGATATGGATCAAATTGACAACTGCAACTTGAAAGATCAGACAGGGACCTAAGGGAGGCAATGAGTTGACTTTAATAAGGGAAGAACAACTCAGAAGAGGACGGTAAGAATAGCTTACAAATCAAAGAATGTAATCGATATCATTAAGTGATACACGTAGAAACTGATGAAGTGGTGTATGTTTTCCTGTATATATTCTCAACAACAACCAAATAAATACAATTTTTTTAAAAAAAGATTAAAAAGTCTAAATAACATCAGTTGGTTTATTCAAAACAGGCAGTACATCACAAATACTGCTGAGGGGAAGGGCCAGAGGGCCTTAAAACATGCATACTGAGCCATATGTATAAATATGTTCTCCGCAGGATGCTGTTTACTATGGGAAAAACTTAAATGTAGAAGCAGGGGATTGGTATAGATAAATTGTGATACAAGCATAGAATGAATTATGTTCAGGATATGAAATGAGATGAAGCTGAAGAGGCAAGAAGGTGCCAGGGCAAGTGCTACCTATGAAAAGAGGCCATTTCCTAGAGATCAGGAGTGAGCAATGTCATGGAGATGCTATGGCACCTGAGTACAAAGCAGGAGAGAGAGTGGCTGATGGAAATGCAGTCAGCTAGATGCAGAACCAAGACCACCAGGTCACAAACATAAAGCCCAAAACCCGAACTCCCATGAATAACTTTCACTGAAAATGAAGAGTATGTGTAAGTAAGTAAATCAAAAACAAAAGCTTCTCTAAAACTTTATCCTGACTGTAGAAACAACAGTTTTCATATATAAATGATTTCAGTCTAGGGACTTACAGTTCTGTAAGTCTCTGCCTCTTGCCGAAGTTCCCGAAGTTTATTTTCACTCTCTGTGAGAATTGCTTTTTTCTGCAACTCTAGCTCTTCCAGGGCCAAAAATTCTTGCTGCTCTTTTTCTTGGGTGATCTTCAAATATTCTGATCGACTCTTTTCCTGCGCCAAAAACAATAATACTACCTCAGACCCAGATAAATCTTCAGTGTCCCAAAGTATTTCCACAGGAATCATTTCATTTGATCTTCATACTGGCCCTGTGAGGCAGACAGTATCATCATTTCTCTCCTCCCATGCACTAGTCTGCAGAAACAAGTGGTGGGGCTTTTCCAGTGTGATCTGGCCAATCTTTATCACAATTACTACTTATCTGAAAAATTTTGTTCCAATAACCCTACTAATGTCTGTTATTTTTCCATTACTTAAAATATTTTGCAAAACATCTGAATGTGAAGGACCACACAATCCTCTACAAACCAGAGTTTGGTATTTCACCTCTAGGTCTAGAAAGCTGATTGTAAGCTTATATAATTTCTGAGAAATATCCCATTACAATAGGGAACCCAACATGGAAGATTAAATAAAAAATCAGAAGATCACTGAATATATGCATTAGATCAAGGAAATAAAGAACAATGCCTGCATAACTTTTTTTCTGTGATTTAGGCTCCCCTGTCACCTTATCAGTGCTCAAAACCTTCACCCTGCTTGTCCTTATACGTCAACATTCACTTACAAGTGCTTACTGTTTTGAGAAGAGAAGCTCTAGAAAGTACTTTTAACATCTGGTGGCTTTGAACTCCAATTAAGAAAAGTGTACTTACCTATACCTGTTACTTAGGGTTCACATTGCCAATGGCAATATTTTTAGTTCACAAAATTTATCACCTGAGAGCTACAGTCTGATAAGCACACTGCTTTAAGGAAAGATTTTGAACCATATAAGAAGTAAAAGACTAATAAGAAAATATTAGTTTTTAAAATATTCATTTTAAAGCATTTAAAAATACTATGTTTAATGTATACTACATTTTAAATGCATCTCTATATGTCAATAAAAATAAAAAGGAAATCTTAATAGTCCATTGAATTTTGACTGTCAACTCAAAGCTAACTCCAAGAAACAAGGTAGAAAAGGGAATGGAAAGGACACATGCAAGCATGCATACATGTGTGTTGGTGTGTGTGTGTGTGTGTGTGTGTCTTGCTTTCTTCTACTTGGAATACATCTGAATATATCAGTTCCTAGAACACAGTATTAACAAGGACAATGTTTTAGCTTCAGTGTCCCTAAAGGCCACTTATCCCAGCATGAAAACCCCACTGTATATAACAATGAACATTTTTAGCCCCATTCCCTGATTCATTTATATCCTGCTTTGACACTTAATTTCCATACCCCTATTTAACAAATCTGTCTTGGAATAAGCTAGAACGCTCCTAAGAAGTGAGAATGGACAGATTCTGTCTCATTTACTGTGGTCATGTTGTCAGAAAGGACCATTTCCTAAGGAAGGATATCATGCTTTGTGAAGTGGAAAGTCAGCGAAAAAGGGGAAGACCCTTAACAAGATGGATTGACACAATGGCTATGACAATGGGCTCAAGCATAGCAGGGATTGTGAGGGTGGCCCAGGGCTGGGCAGCATTGCGTTCTGTTGTGCACAGGATTGTTATTGAGTTGAGCTGACTGGATGGCACCTAAGAACATTTTCAATTTATGGAGGCACTGATGGTTCAGGGGTAGAACTATCTCTTTTCATGCAGGTGACCTGTGTTCAATTCCCTGCCGACGTACCTCATGTTAGTGGATGCTTGTATGATGCTACAATGCCGACAAGGTTGTCAGTGGAGCTTACAAATTAAGACGCAATAGAGAGAAAAGCCTAGTAACCAACTGCCAAAAATCAGCAATGAAAACTGTATGGATCACAATGGTCTCATCCCCAACCAACAGGGGGGATGGTGCAGGACTAGGCCAGTGTTTCGATCCACTGCGCACGGGGTTGCCATGAGTCGGGGGCCAACTTGACAGCAGCTGACAACAAGAACTTGGTTCATTTATGTTGTCTTGTTATGGTTTCAAGCATTTACATAAACTCTTTTAAATACTTTCCGGACCAACATGAAATACAAATATGAACTATATGCATATAAATTTCACAACAGCAAACTGAACCCCTAACCTCACCCAATCATTAATGCAAATCCATGTTTTTATTTGCACAAAAAGATTAGAAAGTCTGCTGTATTCAAGAATCACTGCTCCTAAAAAATCTCAATGATGCAGCTCTGAGAGTGGGAAAAAATTGTATTGGAGAAAGGAGATTAAAATGACAAAAATTATTTCTAATCCTTTTATAGGAGCTCTGGTAGCATAGTGCCTAAGGCACTTGACTGCTAACCAGAAGGCTGGCGGTTCAAACCCACCAGCCACTCCTCAGAAGGAAGGTTGGGCAATCTACTTCCGTAGTGATACCTCCTTGGAAACCCAAGGAGGGGTCACTATGAGTTGGCGCTGACTCAACGGCACATAACAACAACAACAACAACAATCCTTTTTTACTGAGAACACTTTAAAATATGTATTACCTTATGGATAATTTTATATAAAAACACGTTTATTCATATGAAATAACATTTTTGTCATTAATGCTTTTTATGGTGACTTATATAAAAGGCTTTCTACAACTGAAAAAAAAAACTTTTTTAACTTTCTAATTATACTATTCTAATAAATCTTCAGTTATCTTTGCTTCTCTGGTTATTTTTTTAGTTAGTTCAGTTAGTGTTTTTTATTTTATTTTTTTAAACATCAGATGAACTGATATCACTAATGAAATTACTGTACTTAAAATAAAAACTACTTGGTCATTTTCATTTTTTCCCTCATTAGAATGCATTTTAGAGAAAACTTCCTGAGCTTTCAACTCTGAATTTATAGTCAGTCTGGTAAGATTTTAGACATCATTCTTGAATTATGCAGTGCCTGGTTCAATCAACCTCTTTTCTCCTCCCTAATCACTACCTACAACTAGGTGGATAGATAAAAAGATAAAAAAATTAACTTTTAATTTTCACAAGTAACTAAGCTAGCAAGCTCTGGCAGCCTCTTTCCTGCCTAATTCCTATCCTCTCTGCATACCCAAAGATCAAAGCTGCCAGTGGTCCAACCTCAAGTCAAGAGCAGGGCTTCAAAAGGGTTCTCCTTGTGACTTTATATTTCCACTGCACATACAATGAACCCAAATCTACAGTTTAACACGATTCCCAGGTATTCTTATGTATGCAACTGGTGATACATACAAATCTCCTGGGGATCCTATTAAACTGTAGATTCTGATTAAGTATATCTGGGGCAGAAATGCAAATTCTCAGCAGAGGTTTGAACTGGAATGAACCAGTTTCAAGCCTTGGCTGTGAGGCAAGGATGAGAGGGTGACAACTTTATAACTTCACAAAGTTTACCTAGAGCAAAAACAAAGTAGGTACTTACAAGAGCTACTTTCATTTGCTCCTGAAATTCCCTTTCTCGGGCCTGAAACGTCTTAGTCAATTCTTGTTCTTTGCTGGCAAGCTCCTTTTCATGAAGTTTCTGTAGCTTAATGATTTGTTCTTCTGAAGATTTCTGATAATCAGACAAAAGGATAAAGTGAAAACACTCAGAGTAAAATATGTAACTCCACAACTCAATCATAAACACTTTATGATAGTTATCTAATAACTTGGTAAGAGGAAAAATCAGGACATATTCCCCATATGTATCAGTCACTTAAGCCTCAATAATTAAAAGAAAAACCAGAAATATTTCGTACCTCTTTAAGATACAGAGAGCGAATGCTACAGCCTAGAGGATAAAGCTCCTATTCTGTTTCTTTTGGGGATATTCCCCAACAGCAGGGAAAGGTAAGGAGAACAGAGGAAATGGGAATAAGGATGCTCTAAGGGCAGGCACTTTATTGTGATAAAACTGCCTGGCTACACCAATCTAATTGTACCATATCTTCCCAGGTACATACCATTTATTCAGAAGTATAAAGTATAGCCTTGCTCTTGGATGGGAATATTTAATCTTATAGAAATGTCAAACCTCCCTAGATAATCTATAAATATAATCAAATGAAACTATTACAGAATTGGGGAGGGGGAGGTAGGCAAGTTTATGAAAAAATAAATGCATAAGAACAGACAATACTCTTCTGAATATAAGAATAATAAAGAGAAGCTCCTAGATAGTAGGGAATTCCAGGTGGTACAAATAGTTAACACACTTGGCTGCTAAACAAAATATTGGTAGTTAGAGTTCACCCAAAGGTACCTCAGAAGAAAGGACTAATGAGTGATCTACCTCAGAAAAATCAGCCATTGAAAACTCCGTGGAACAAAGTTCTACTCTGACACACACAGAGTTGTGATGAGTCAGAATCAACTTGTTAGCAATTAGTTACCAATAACGGAGCCTATTATAGACCTATAGTAATTATAAAAGAATAATAGCATTACATGGTCAGACAAAACAATGGAATAAGACAGAGAATCAAGAAAAAAATCCATTTTAATATACTAATTTAGTATGTAATGACAATAGTATGGCATAGCAGAAGGGGAAAGATGGATCATTAAACAAACTATTGGAAGGCAGATTTGTAGTAATATGGAAAAAAAAAATTAAACTGGATTCCCTACCTCACTCCTTACACCAATTAAATTTCTGTTATATCAAAGATTTAATCATTAAAAAAAGTATAAAAGTGTTTGAATAAAAAATAGAGTTGAGAATTGTTTTTTAAAAGAACACAAAATCCAGACAACATTTAAGAAAAGGGCTAATAAATTCAACTATCAGAAAACTCCAATTACATAGCAAAGAAAAGAATAATAATAAACAAAGCCAACAAATTATAAACTGAAAAAATTATGTAGATAAAAGAACTTTATGTCCAAAGGGCTAATATCCACACTAAGTAAAGAGCTTCTATGATTAAGTAAGAAAAAGATGAACAGCATAATATAAACACGAGTCAAGAAATCTTCCAGGCAACTCAAGAGAGTTGCAACTCAAATTCCTTTTAAACATTTAAAGATATTTTCAACATAGTCATAAAAGATATGCACATTAAAATTATAATATCATTTATTTAACTTGAGCTTGAAAACAATAAAAATGTTCAGCAATACCATTTTTGTAAGGGAGGCAAACATATTCTAACATACTGCTTCTGAGAGTATAAACTGTCCTCCATAGAGCTTTTAGCAGCAACTAAGCATTAATTAAGGGAGCTCTGGTAGTGCAGTGCCTAAGGCACTTGACTGCTAACCAGAAGCCTAGCAGTTCAGACCCACCAGCCTTGGAAGGAAGATGGGGCAATCTACTTCCGTAGTGATACTGCCTCGAAAACCCAAGGAGGGGTCACTATGAGTCGGGTCTGACTCAACAGCACCTAACAACAAACAACAAGAAGCATTAATTAAAGAGCTCTGATGGTGTAGTGCCTACGGTATCTGACTGCTAACCAGAAGGCTGGAGGTTCAAACTCACCAGCCACTCTGTGGAAGGCAGACTGGGCAATCTACTTCCATAAAGATTTACCACCTCAGAAACCCAAAGAGGGTTGCTATGAGCCTGAATCGACTCTATGGCACTAAGTCTGGTTATTTTGGTTTAAGCATTAATTACAAGTACACAAAATTTGCCTGAGTAACATTTCACTTCTAAGAATCCATCCTACAAAAATACATATGATTTCAGTAAGATGGAGGAATAGGCAGAAAGGCAACACAGACCCTTTTCAACAAAGAAAAGAAAAACCAATTGACAGAGATACAGAAGATAATGTTGGAGCCCTGAGCTTTGAAAGGAAGTACAAAGAAGTGGATTAGGCAGCAACTAGTGGAAAAACCTGAAGGAAAACAGTGAGTACAGAGATGGTTGGAGCTGTCAACTGTCAGCTACTCTGCTGGGACCAACAGCCTGAATATTTCCAAGTGGTGCTGGGACCTGAGAATTGACCTAAAGATCAACCCTGGTCACCAAGGGTTGCAGGGACAACTGTGCTGGTGGTCTATGACTAGGAAGGGAATCAGCAAGGAGGGAGAAAACCTGTTGACTTCCTGCTGTCCAGAGGGTGCAGCCATTTTGATTGTTTATACATGGCAGCCATTTTGGATATTTAAAGTGACCAAGAGTGCAGCCATTTTGAATGATTATAAGTGGTGGCTATTTTGGATATTTAAAGTGACCGAGGGTGCAGTCATTTTGAATCTTTACAAGTGCAAATCATTTTGAATTTTAAAGTGATAGCATTCTCTTTCGGATTCCAGGGACCTAAAAATAGGCTCTGTTTGCCAAGGTCAGCAGGAACATAAGAGAGGCTGACAGCAAGAAAGGAGACCAGTGGTGACCATATAAGCGCTGTCAACTAGAGAATAGAGGAGCACAGCACAGTATCCTGCTTGCATAGATAACATACAAAGAAAACAAAAATTGTGGGCAAGTCACTCCAACATACAATCATAAACACAATTATAAACACAAAAATGCCACAATGCTTCTGAGACAACATCAAAGTCCACACAAAGAAGCAAGATAAAATCAGAGAAACAACGGACCAGGCTACAGACCCAAAATACATCCCCGAGGAAGACCAGCATTGGAACTCCCTGATAAGGAATTCAAAAGAATGATATTTAGGTATTTTCAATGAATTGAGAGACAGATCAAGGAAAACACTGACAAAACTGAGGAAAACATTGAGAAAACCCTATAATTTTGAAAGACAATACAAGAACAAAATGACAAAATAAATGAAAAATTAGAAATGATACAAAATCTACACACTGAAATCCACAATATTAAATTTTCAGAAATAGCTAAGACATTGAATGGGAAAAGAAGCAGAATTGAATCAATGGAAGACAGAATTAGTGAGACTGAAGGCAAATACCTGAACACTTCTCTGGAAAGGGAACAATTAGAAAAAAGAACAAAACAAAATGAAGAAACCCTAAGGTTCATGTGGGATACCATCAAAAGGAATAACTATGTGTAATCACAATTCCAGAACAGGAAGAGACAAATAAAACCACAGAGAAAACTGTCAAAGATTTATTTGTTGGAAGAGAATTTTCCTGGTATGATGAAAAATGACAATATATCCATTCAGTAAGTCCAACGAACCCCAAACAGGATAGACCCCAAAAGAAAATCATCAAGACATATCATCATCAAACTCACCAAAACCAAAGGCAAAGAAAGAATTCTGAAAGCAATACAGGAAAAACAAAAAGTTACCTAGAAGAGGCAACCAGTAAGACTAAGCTTGGATTTCCTGGCAGAAACCATGCAGGTGAGAAGAAAATGGGATGGTATATATAAAACCCTGAAAGGGAAAAATTTCCAACCAAGAATTATGTAGCCAGCAAAACTGTCCCTCAAATATGATGGTGGAATTAGGACATTTAAAGATAAGCAGAAATGAAGGGAATTTGTTAAAACCAGACCAACCTTACAAGAGATGCTAAAGAGAGTCCTCTGGACAGAGAAGCAACAACAGCCAACAACAACTGACCATTAACGCACACGATGATATAACCCAGAAACCAACCCATCTAGGGAAGTATCCAAAGTAACTCAGTCTACAAGATTGTAAAAAGGGAACCAGAGGTATCAATTGACTAATGAGGACAACCACAAACCAAAAAGAGGGAAGAAAAAAAAAACTGTGTTGTTACAGAACTTCTAGATGATAGGGAAGTCAAGACATCTACAAGATAGAACAGACTGGTCTAAACTTGGGAAGAAAACTATAAATCACACGATAACCTCAAAGAAAAATGATAAACCTTCACATCAAAATAAAAAAGAAGACATTCAGCAAATGCTAAAACAACAGCAACAAAGGAAGTGATAACACGATTGATAAACAAAATGAGCTCAGCATAGAAAATTATATGGAACAAAGAAATCAATACCATGAAAAAGCACATAACAAAAATGACAGCAACAAATTCTTATTTGCTGATAATTACATATCTGGCTTATCTCTAAGATTTATAGGGACTTATCTCTAAGATTTATAGAAAACATCAATGCCTCAACATCAAAGGAATTAATAATCCAATTGAAAAATGGGCAGAAGACATGAATAGACATTTCATCAAGGAAGATATTGAGGTGGCCAGCTAATATATGAAGAGACGCTCATAATCATTGGCCATCGGAGAGATGCAAATCAAAACAACAATAAGATACCGTCTCACCCCAGCACTGATGGCAAGGTTCAATGAGACAGAAAACAGCAAATGCTAGCCGGGATGTGGAGAGACTGGGACTCTCATACACTGCTGGTGGGACTGTGAAGTGATACAACCACTGTGGAAAGCAGTATAGCGATTCCTTAGAAAGCTGGAATTGGAGATATCATTTGACCCAGCAATCCCATTACTAGGTATATATCCTAGAGAGGTGAGAGCCAGGACAGAAACAGATATATGCAAACTCATGTTCATTGCAGCACTATTTACAATAGCAAAAAGATGGAAACAA